CTATATATTCTACTATTATATATATTCTACTTCATTATAAATTATCTGCTATAACTGTAGCATCAGAAGGTGTTGGATAAAAATTAGCAAGCACTAAGAGTACAGCCTGGTAATTCTAATCACCTGTCTTTAGTTATGGCCATACTCCTGATTGCTGACAGATGTTAGTACTGACCAGCTCATATCAGCATAACACTTGCTATGGTCTCAAAATATTTGTGTCCTTCCCTCACAAATTTGTATACTGAAACCTTGTCACCAATGCAATGGTGTGAGGAAATGGGATCTTTGGAAGGTGATTATACCATGAGAGCTCCACCTTCATGAATATGACCAGTGCCCATAAAAAGTACATTAATGAAGCAGACACATTTATTTCTACCATGTGAGGACACAACTGAAAGGCACCATGTATGATCCAAAAAGCAGGACCTTACCAGACACTGAATTTGTGGGTGCCCTGGTTTTTGACCTCTCAGATTTCAGAAATATGATAAAGAAATTGCAGGGAATGGCTGAAGAGACCAACCATTTGTGCAGAGCTAAAGCAAAGCCACTACGAAGAACACAGACACCTGAGGCCAGCCACATAAACAAGCTGCTCCAGCCTTGAAAACACAAAGCACCCAGGTCAGCCAGGCAAACGAGTTGCTAGGTAGAGGGGTTGAAATTGATATCAACCTCCTGAGTGTATAAATAAATGCTCTGCAGTCTTTGAGCGGTTCCTTTTCTCTCATCAAGAGAGAGAACTCCACTTGACCTCAGCTCTCTGCATTTTGACTCTTGTCTTCATTTCTTCATCTTCCACCATCTTCTCCCCTAGGAATTTTGAAAACTATCCTGGACAAGGCAAGAAATATTTGTTGTTTATACATGAATATTACACTTTTAGTGTAAGGCTTTTGTTATGGCAGCCCAAACAAAAAAAAGACATGGTTATGTAATTGAAATGAATAATTAATCACATGATTTTGTTTGTTTGTTTTTTTTTTCTCCGGTACCGGGAACCGAACTCACGACCTTGCACTTGCCAGGCAGGCGCTTTTGCCGCTGAGCTAGATCCCCAGCCCCTAATTCACATGGTTTTGACTTGTTTAGGTTTAATTCAAGAGATATTATCAAAATAGAACAAATAATGTGGCAGACTATATTTTCCTTAAATGACTACAACATCTCTTATTCTGAAAGGGAAATTAAAATTTTAGATAAAGCCTGCCAAGAATGCCTGCCAAAACCAGATGGGCATGTCCAGGAAAGCCTGATAACTGGCCATTTCCTGCTTTGTGTAACCCATGCTTGTTTACGTGATGGCCTTGCAATGTAACTTGAGATGTTTAAACTCCTTTAGCAACCCATGATGTCACCAAAGCTTCCAATCACAATGTACCAAATCTGCCTTTGTACCGCCCCACTTGCCCTACCTATAAAAGTCCCAAAACTCTGCTGGGCAGGGTGCTGACTTTTTGGGAAGAATCCCAGTCAGGCCCACCTGGTGTAAATAAACCGCCTCCCAAACCTTGGTGCCATTTCTTCTCTTGTTTGATCTGTTCCTGTAACATTTCTTGGTTCCCTGACCAGGAAGACTGTGCTGACTTCTTAGGCCACTGGCTGAGGCCTGGAAGTTGAAGTGTGGAGAGGCCCCTCCTCAGTGCCAGTGCCCCTCATCAGACCCAAAAGAGGGGAAAAGGACACAGTCAGGTTAGGTCTTTGGATAATGTAAGACCCTGGGAGGTGCCCTAGTCAGTCAGTCAGTCAGTCAGTTCTGCTCGGCAGAGCAGAAGGAGAGCTTGATCACCTCTAGTTAGTTGAGGCCTCCTGCAAGGGAATGTAATGAGTTAATATTATCCCTTAGGTATTGCAGACTGATCAGGTCCGCAATTTCCCAAATGAGTGTACACCAAATGCTTAAATAAGAGTCAAGTGGTATGATTTTAGGGCTCCAGGAGGATCAAGACCTTCTAACAGAATTCAAGATTCTCTGGGGGCTAAGACAAATGTCTTCTCTGGGTGGCCTGTATTTATTTACTTATCAAACAAAGGAGGAGAATACTGAAAAAAGGCAGGAATCTGAGCAGGACCATTCAAGGACCTTGGAAGTCCACTCGAGGGCTTCTCCAAGTAAGACATTATGTTAATTTAGGAGATCTATGTTATCTCCAGGAATATCTCCACACAGGAGTAAGATTCCTGTAGCTACAGTCTTTATCTAGTTATATGAGGTTGGAGCCAGGGGTCCTTAGCTGTGGCCTTGTCTTGTCCTTTGAGGCATCATGGCTTCATCCATCATTACAGGCCTCAGGTGGGACCAATGACTCACAGAGGTTCACTTACTGTGAGTCTGATGCCCATCTCCAGACAAGGGGCCTAGGCCTTAGACAGGGCCTTAGACAGGGCCTAGGCCTTAGACAGACTTCCACAAGTAAAGGGGCCTAAGGCCTTAGACAGGCCTTAGACAGTGCCTAGGCCTTAGACAGACTTCCACAAGCAAACATGGAAAACTAATTGATTAATTTAAATCCTGTTCAGAGCCGCTTCATAGTGGTCTCCATCAGGAACAGGGTTGGAATATTTAACCTCTGAGTGCCTGCTGAATGATTGTGTGAGTGTTTGTAATGGATGGCAAAAGCAGTAGGCCATTCTGTCTGTGCTCATGGAGAAAGTCCCCTCCAGGACCTCAGCTATGGAATTTGACTAGGTCAGATTTCTGCAACTCAATCTCTGTATTGGGGATCTGACTTGGGATGGCGTTTATACATCTATGCTATTACCTGGACAGATCTAGTCCCCATTGGTGGAGTGGCCAGAGCTAATGAGTGCTTGGTTCCTAATTTGAGGTACACCCACATTTTCTTTGTCTGTTGTGTCACTATTCAAGTATACACTACATACACTGTAGGGAGATAGAATGGGTGCAAGCCAGAGTAAACCTATGGTCCTTGATTGTATGCTGGAAAACTTCAAAAGAGGATTCCCTGATGACTATGGGGTAAAAATGAAACCTCAGAGGCTCTGAACCTTCTGTGAGATCAGCTGGCTGAACCTGTGCTCAGATTGGCCACCCAAGGGAAGTCTCAATGTCAAGACCATTCAGCAATGCTGGAATGACGTAACTGACCTCAAGACTGGCCACACTGACCTGTTCCCTTATATTGATTCTTGGTTTAACCTATGTCAAAGCCTGCTGCCTTGGCTCTACACCTATGCCCTGCATGACAAAGGGACCATCCTGATTGTCAAAACAAATCCCTGAGACTGCTAGAGACTCCCCCTACCCCAGAGGCCTGCTATAGACCAGAGAAGCTTTATCCAGTCCTACTTGAAGACCTCAAGTCCAATCTGTCACCTTCCTACATTCATGAGTCCCAAGCTGCCCAGCTGGCCTTAGCACCCCACAGCCAATCCAAACACTGCCACCATGGTGGCCAAGGGACCCCGCCCTTCTAGATTCTGTAATGTAGCAGCCAGCCCCACTGCTGCAGCCAGCACCACTGTGGCCAGGCCACCACCATCGTAAACAGAACTGTCACTGCCACTCCTCCTCCTTCCAGGTTCCGTAGCACTGCCGGTGTCACCACCATCACACATGTCTCCAAACCCACATCGTTTTCAACAGTTCCAGCTGTGCCCTCTAGTGGCCCCTCAGCTCCATCAGTTATTCCTGATACCAAGGTGCCCAGGCTGCCTACCCAAGCCTCCACTCTGGAATTTCTCCTGTTATCCAAGCCTGTGTCTGTCACCATCCCTGCCCGCTGCCCAGCCAATGCCACCTCTGGCCTGCCTGGAGCCTCTAGCTGCTATCCCAGACTCCACAGATCCATTGCCAACAACCACTTCAGTGCCTCCTGAACCCCAGACAGATTCCTTGTCAGGTGCTGTCAACATGGACAGAAACACTGACAGCCCTATCAGCCGTCACCTCTGTTCTGCCACTCGGCTCAGTCCTCCAGTTCATCTCCAGCTGTCGCTTCTTGTCTACCCTGTAGCCCAGGGAGGCACACCGAACCAGCCACCCTTAATGAATTATCAGTCATTTAGTTCCACTGACCTCCTGAACTGGAAGCACCACAACCTGTCCTGCCAGGAGAAGTCCCTAGCAATGAATGACCTCTTTACATCCATCTTCCAGACCCAACTGCCAATATGGGATGAATGTCAGCAGCTCCTTTTGACCCTATTTAATACTGAAGATTGCTGCTGCATTCTAGATGGGGCCCAGATCTGGCTGAAATTAAAAATCCCCATCATTCTAGTTGATCTTGATGCTTGAGTGAACACAGTTCTCCCCCAAGTGCATCCAAACTGAGGATGCAACATGGCAGAAGTCTCAAAGGAGGCAAAAAGCCAATAAACATGTCTAAGATTACAGAAGTATTCAAGAACCCAGTGAAAGTCCAGCCAAATTTTATGAAAGACTCTGTGAAGCCTACTGGGTCTATACACCCTTTGACCCAAAGGCACCTCAAAATCAGTAGATGGCCAATGCTGCCTTTATTGTAGTCAGCCTCTAACATTAGAAAAATCCAAAAGATTGATGGCTTTGCTGGCATGAACACCACCCAGTTACTTCAGATTGTTCCAAAGATTTTTGTGAACTGAGAGAGAAAAGAAAAGAAACAACACTGACATGAGGCAGATCACATTACCCAGTAGAAAGCTGTTCTCCTGGCTGCAATGTTAGGAAAGCTTGTTCCTCAAATATCTTGCCAAGGCCAACCCCGCTGCAGTAACTGATACAACTGGGTCCCACAAGCTTCACAACCTAAAACTGGTAGAAGA